AGAATTAATTAATTGATAATTAATTAATTACTGAGAAGGACCCAAAAATAAGTAAATTATAAAGTTTGTCAATAATTAATAAAAACTATATCATTATGTAGAGTTTGACTGTCTGATTCCAACGATTCAATCGGATTTCAATTTGGAGAAAGTTGGACCAAAAAGTGTTCCCGGACTGGGACCAATTTAGTCCCAATCAGGGACTTGCGTCTGGAATCCCTAAGCAATCGCCGTCCGCCCCACTGAGACGCCAAAACAGTGTTGGGAGGTCATCTCCCATGGCTTCTTCCCACTCCTCCTTCCTATATAAACCCTCCAATTTCTCACCATTCTTCACCAATCTTCTTCCAAAAGATAGCTGAGAGTGTAAAGAGTGAAGTAGTGCTGTCAATTTGGTGTAAAGTCGCCGGAGTTGGGAGTATTCGCCGCCGGAAGTTTCGCCGGAAAATTTCCAAAACCTTCATTTACCTTCGAGGTAAGCCCGTAGATATATCTAATGACTAGAATGTTCATATAGGTCGTTTCTACGTTCATAAATGGTCATTTGGTTGAGTTTTGTGTTTGACATGTTTGAAAAACCAAGAATCATAAACCTTGAATTTGATGTTAAAAATATGTTTTAATAATTCTAATATGATCTATGAACCTTGGAGAACATTTCTATATAGTTTTTACAAAGTTCGGTAACCAAAAATGGTATTTTCAAAATTGGACCCGAGAGGTTGAAGAAGATGAAAAGTAGTTGAAATGCAGCAGGAAGGATCGATCCTCCTCATTGGATCGATCCTCTGGGAGTGAATTTTATAGTTTGATGGATCCAGGGAGACAACTGGATCGATCCTCCGAAACTCTGACCCGAAAATTGGTCTGAAAATGTTATTTTTGAGCTCTAAAATCCTATTTTTGATACCAATTGATTGTGATCATTATAAAAATGATTTATCACTATAAAATTGATGTTTTTAACAAATAAAAATGTTATGTGATGCATGACGGTAAGTTAGGGTGTTAATACCTGAAGCTAGACCGCTAATTGTTATTGAATATTATGTTGATTGATGATTATGATAATGATTATTGATTTATGATTATGATGATTAAAACTTGATAAATGTTTTGATTAAAAATAGAAATTATGAATGATTAAATCATAATGAATATATTGATGATTGTGAAAACAATATGTATTGTTAAGGGTATCTAGAAGACCTCTAAGATATACCCATATTAATATTGATTTGAAAGCTAAGGTATCTAGAAGAACTCTAAGATATACCTATATAAGTTAGGCCTTGCGGGTATGATGCCCGGTGGCTAGGGTTAAAACGTACGTACGAGATCCAGGAACCAAACTTGAGTACCTACTCGTTTGGGGGTACCACCCAACCCAACAGTGAACACTACGCTTCTACGCTGTCGGTTTTTGGTTGACCTTAAGTGAAGGTAAGTTTAAGATTTAAAAACTCTCTTTAAAAATATATATATCTTAAACTAGGCCTAGCTTAAGGATTAGGATATCTTGAACTAGAATTAGTTTAAGAATGGAATTGGCCTTAGACTAGGTATAGTTTAAGGATATTGTTAAATATTGAATATTGAATATGAATGTTGAATATTGAGATATTGAAATAAAAATATTGAAAATATCATGAATGAATTATATATTGTGTGCATGATATCAAATGGTTATTTGTGAATTGAGATTCAATTTATGTGGATGTTCGACGCTTTAGATATGCTTACTCAGCTTCATCGCTGAGCGTGTAGTATGTTTTATTTGCTACACGCAAGTAGGCAGAATGAATGATTGGCATGTTCCTGGCAGCAGAAGGGGCGAGACTGTCGTGGTGGAATTTGTGATTTTAAATAAATAATTGTGTTGTTATTAAACATGGTTTAATTTGCTTCCACATTATTGTTAAACACTCTGCATTTTGCTACAATTATGTATTAAATAATATTTATGATGAATAAAAGTGTTTGAAATGTTTTAAATTTTATGATTACCAAGTTAATACTTTAGTCTGAAAGGGGCTGCAGACCTGGACGGATTAGGGTGTTACAGTCAAACTCTACACAACGATATAGTTTTCATTATTTATTGACAGACTAATCACTTATTTTTGGGTCATTCTCAGTAATTAATTAACTATCAATTAATTAATTAATTCTGATAGGCATATTTTTGAGACATTACATTAGGAGCCAAGTTTAAGAAAGAAAGTAAATTGAATTATAAAGAATACTTAGCATTCGTATTAGTGTGTGGTTGCCCTCACCCTAGCCGTAAGCATCTGCTCACATGATTGTAGACTAGCCCCACAAAGAAACACAAGTCTTTCCCGTGCACTTTGTCTTCACTTGTAGGAACTTCCCATAGTGTCGTTCATTCTAAAATTGATTCAAGTCAAGCACACTTTGGAGTTTCTAAATGATGAACTCTCGAAAAAAATGCACGCACCTTGTTGTTATGAGTAGTACTATCAATCTTTTTTAGCCTTTTTCTTTCCCAAATCTATTTATTTTCAAATCAGGGTATTGTAGGATATTTTTTTATAAGCTGTTGTGATATAGTTATGAATGTTTTTTGTGCATGATATTGTATGATGATATATGAGATGGTGATATGGGCTAGTGAAGTCGTCTATGCATGTGTATGACTGTGTGTTAGATATTTCTTACTTAACTTCAATGTTGAACATGTAGCATTTGTGTTTTTGTTGCACGTAGGTAATCTATAAAATGAAGAACTTAGAGTCAATCCCGGAGGACGGTGATGATGAGGAGATGTGACATAAATGAGCTGATTTTGCTGAAATAATTTATTTCAACCGAAAGTTCTTGTTTGCTCTGCAGTATGTAAATATTTACTTTTGTTACTTTTAAACCACTTTTTGACTCATTTTTTATTCTTTTTGTAACAAGACATGATTTTTGTGCACTTTTATATTTAAAAAACATATAAAAACAAATGAGAACTTGTCTTGATTAATCCAAAACTGGACAATAACACACTAAATAGGGAAAAGATCGATAAGTGCGTACAAAACGGACTTATTAATGAATATTTCACAATACTTTTCGGTAATGTATATGGTCATGAGTGATAATATATATGCATTTTAATTCCTGTTTCAGAAATAAAAATATGAAACTTCTATTTTGATATATTTTCAATATCTTATTCGCATTTTAGTCCTTTTCATTTTTTCTAACTTTTAACTTTGTCTTTACAACTGAAACGAGTAAAACATAAACTGTTTATAGAAGCATTAGTGTAGAATATCATAATCAAGAGTGGAAATAAACTATGTTTTGAATGGATGATGTGTAATGATGCATATTTATGAAATTATAAACGGTATCTATGCAAACTCGCACGTGTGACACTAATGATTATAGTGTAGGGAGAAGGACCAAAATAGTAGTAAAACATATGACATATCTTCAAAATAAGAGTTGAAACATAAAATCCCCTAAATAGGAGTAATTAACTTAATTAATCTAATGGCTTAGAGTTAAGAAGCGAAATAGATGTAAAACATTGACCACGTAACAAAATAGAAGTTATATTCATATTACAAATATGAAATTAAATACATTATATAAATTAAAAAAAACTTAAATTAGCTACAGCCCATGCCCCACATGTCACTGTCGCCACCCCTGCCGCTATCGCCGCTACTGTCATCACCGTCACTCCACCGCCACAATCTCCTGCTACCATCGCTATTAATGCGGCCACCATCTACATTGTTGCAACCGGTCCTGCCATTAACACCGCCACGGTCGGCACTATCGCCGTCATCGCCACCACAATCTGCTGCTCTCATCCCCATTTGTTGCGGATGCCACCTCCATCGCCTCTATTTGTTCTTGTTAATGACGCAATTTACTACCAAAGTTGTGACCAAGATTGCTATTGTCGCCACCATAGTGTCATGGTGTCACTGTCAAGGGTAAAGACTTTGAATACAATGCCAACTAAAGCCACAATGTTAAAGACGATAATGCATACTAACAAACATGTCATTGCATAATGCCAAACATGTTATTGCATAATGCCAAATATGTCAACATAAAATATCAAAAAGAAAGTGAAATGTCAATATTGCCAGCATACAATATCAAGTTTTTGTCACTATCACCAAATTTTGCTGAAATTGGAAGCAAAATCTAAACACAACTAATACAAAAGCAATCAAACAAAAAATTAAAAAAACTTAACCAAAATCAATGCCTAATGAAGATGCATGCAATTCAAGTTGTATTATTATTATTATTATTATTATTATTATTATTATTATTATTATTATTATTACTACTACTACTACGATGGAGTAATTATTATTATTATTATTATTATTATTATTATTATTATTATGTATTCATACATGACCTCATCCACAATGGCAGCCATTTAAGACTCTCCAGTCTCCCTTTTTATGAGGTGCGAATGTGCAATTGCTGTAAGGCTTCAAATTCTTTATGGCTAATTACTCATATTTAGGGGAGTTTAAGTTTGAACTTCTATTTTGAGGATATGACATATGTTTTACTCCTATTTAGGAGATATTCTTTTTAGGATATGCTGTGTAAAAGGTTGCGTTCCATTCAAAAAAAAATTCCCCAAATTTTCACTTGTTTTCGTTAAATTCAAATCACATAGAATGAATTTTAAATACTCCCTTTAAATATTTTAAAAAAGGACCGTGCTACACACCCCCACCTTTGCTACCAACTTTGCCTCCATCCACTTCTTCACCACATATTTATCTTTACTCATTCTCCACCCACTTTTTAATTTTAATTTTCTTGCCTCCATACCACATGTTTATGTAGGGGACATGGTTGGTAACAAGAGTGAGATTTTTTTAGCATTTTTCCTTTAAAAAATTTAGATAGGATTAGCCAAAATTGGGTACCCTTTTTGATCATTTAATCTGTTCGGGGTTCTAAATTGATGCTCGGATCGAACCTGGATTTAATATCGGCGACATCTGTGGTACAAAGGCTTTACAGCTCGCCAAGCAGGTCGATATTATGGAGGCGTCGACGGCGGACTTTCGCCGCCCGGCGAAGAGTGCTAAACGGACGACCATTCAAGATCTTAGCGACGATGCGCTCTGTTTGATATTCGCCTATCTCGACATCTTTGAGCTGATTCGAAGTTCTGCCGTCTGTTCTTCTTGGTACGCCTTCTAGAACTCATTTTAAAGGAAAATAATAAAATTCTCTTACAAGTTTTCTCATTTTCGTTATGTCCGTCTTTCAAACGATTATAAGCTCAAATAATACGGAGTACCATGTAGCAAATCGTTTAATCAAAATCTTTTTTCTGCAAATTGAAAATGATCTATGATGGAAACTGATTTGGATTGGAAACTTTAGTTCTAGCATTCGAATTCATCTTCTTGGGTTATTTGATTGTTTGTTCTTTTCTCAATGTACTGGTATTCTACAACATGTCTGTTTGGATGAGCATGAGAGACAGAGAGAGTAAGTGATGGAAGTATAGGAAGTGGAAGTAATGAGTAGGAATGGATGAAGATGATGATTCTAAGTCAGTGAGTAGTTACCTTATCTGGGAGAGGATGAAATCTTAAGAAGGTCCATGTAAGCATCTTCCTTACAAGAAGTAGATGGTATACACAGACTAAGATGTTACATACATGCCAGGGATAACTTGGACATTTTTAATCCACGGGTTACTAAGAAGTGCTTACTGAGTCTCTCATTATTAAGCTAATGCTTAATATGCAGTGTATCATAAATAATTATTTATCTCATAGTGATAATGGGCTCAATAATACACCAATGCATCTACTCCACAAGATTTAGATTACATATTACGTAGTAAGTAGTAAATGGCATATTTTCCGTTGAAGTTTGTTGGTGGTTTGCAACAACGGTGACCGACAGTAGTGGGAGGTAGGGGACAATAGTAACGGTCGTTTGCAGGGGAGGCATTTGGCTGTGGCAATTGGTGATAGTGGCAACCTACACTAGTGGAACTAGTGGAGATTGGCGACTGAAGGTGGTGATAGGTTGTATATTATGAACTTTACATGGTGGTGAATTTTAGAGATGAATGACATCAATTAATTATGTTTGTCAAAGAATTGGACTTCCTCAAAGGTTTTGATAATTGATATTTGTTCATAAAATCAGTAAGCTAAAAAACTGTAAGATACGACATCCAGAAGACTTGTTGTGCTGGAAGGTCCAAGACCATGGGTCTCGCCTTCCATTTATCAATAGTCTTTTTCACTTCAACTCCTTTTATTTTTCTTTCATCTTTCCCAAATAGGGTAACCCTTTATCGTTCTCTTCTCTTCCATTACTCACACCTGATTACACCTTATCCAAACAACCTGCTAAGGTTATCCAAAAGTGTTCACTTGTCTCATCCTACAAAACATTTACAGTATCGAAAAAGAATTTCCATGTAGTTGTTTCTTCAAGTTTTGACTTTTGAGATGACATTGTTTCTTTAGAATTTGACTTCTTATGTGACATACCTGATCGAGCTATAGAACAAGGGTTGTTATTGCAAAGGCACCTTAAAAGATTGATACCTTTTTTTGAATTCATAAATAAGTTTTGACACGTTATTACGGACTCATAATAAATAACAAATGTGGTGGAATATAAAAATATCCACTGGCTGGGCATGTCAACATAATGTGACATTTCTAAAAGATTTCCTTTCCTCCACATGAAGGAGAAAAGTTATTCAGAAACTGAAGTTGCTGCAAATACGGTATGAGCGAGACCATAAAAATGATGCCAATTACCAATGTCTGACATCTTCATGTGCAAGACCACTGAATGAACTTCTTGATCAGCTAGCTATGGAAAAACACAGGTCTGCCTTAGTGAGATGTAATGCTAAAGCCTTCCAGTGGAGATGCCACTCAGTTGGGTTAGTTTTTGTTTACATGTTTGACATTTTTGTGTTAGCCATTGCTAAGTTGAAGTTTTAGTATGTTTTGATGTAGCATTTCTTTATTTCTAGCTGAGATTGTAGTTTTGTACTTTGGGGAGGGGGGGGGGGTGAGGTTACAACTAATAGTTTCTACTTTATGCTCTGAATAACATTGAAGCTTGGGGCTTGAATTGTCTTCTTGACTACTGCATGAAAAAGCACTTATGACTTCACATACTATTAGGGTTAGTCAGTGCCGAATGAAGATGGGACAATTTCTGACTGGTGTGGGTGATAAGGTAGGATGCTTTTTGTTTGTCAAGTTGTCAGCGATATTTTTGTTAACTATTCTTTCTATATCTCCATAATTATGTTCTTTGGATTTTTAGCTATATATTTCACAATTCAATCCCAAAGATCTCCACATGGCCAAATCAACATTGCACATCCCATTTCCATGCCCCAACAAAACAATGACCAAGCGATGCTATCTAGTTGATTGAGTTTTCACTCTATTGAAAATTATTACTTGTTGAAGACTATTGTTTATCGTGTTGAGTCGGTAAGGTACTTGGTGATATCTTTGACCTCTAATATATTTCACATTTTCATCATCCCAAAAATCTAGGCCATGCGACTCTGGTCAGCAGAAAGCTACAAATGCTTGGATGAATATACGCTGCCCATGAAAGCCCCTCTAAGAGATTACGACTTCGATGAGAGCAAGGTAATATTATACGCACAATGCATCCTTGATATTTAAACTATGTTTGGTTCAGGAATTTGAGTGAGAAAGGAATAGAAAGTGAGAAGGAAAATAATTTTCTTGTTTGGTAAGAGAGGAAAAGAAAAGAAAAGTGGAAGGAAAAGAACATAAAAAGGAAAAATGTACTAAGAGGAGGGAAAACCAAATTCCCTCCATTTTGGTGAGGAACGGAAACACATTTTCTTTTCTTTTCCTTCCAAATTCCTTGAACCAACCATAGTGTTAGAGTTTTGATGCACTTTGTTTAATTGATGGACAAGAGTGTTTGATGCACTTTGTTTAATTGATGGACAAGAGTGTTTGGCAAGACGTTTAGGGAGTCTTTTTTTTTTTTTGTTTAAATTGGTGACCAACGTCTTTCCATCATCTCCGATGGAGCCAAAATTTCACCATTTTTTGGCTTTGGGGTGTGATGGAATAAATCAAAATGGATCTCTAAACTATCTGCGCTTCTTTAATTAATGAAGTAGCAGTTAGTCAAGCAATGCAACTTTCGACGTTGAGCCGGGGGTCTCTTTGGAAACAGCCTCTCTACTTTCGAGTAGGGGCAAGGTCTGCGTACACACACCCTCCCCAGACCCTACTCTTGTGGGATTTAACTGGGTTGTTGTTGTTGTTGGTGACCAACGTTTTCATACAAGTTCCTTACTGAGCTGGAGGATGGTTTGACCATAAAGGTGTGATGTAAAAAAAAAGCTTACATTGCATTTTGCCAAGAGGCTGCTTCTAGGACTCAAACTTGTGATGTGTGACCTCAACACCATACAAAAATACCTCAACTGATGCACCAAGGCTCCCCTCAAATTGATATATTATATTCATTTATGTAACTAGTGTCTTACAAAGAAGAATACGGTTTGGAACGAGGATATCCATGACAAGACAAGAGTTATTTTTGTGGAGGATAACATGTGCGAAGCTAGGTTAGGATGGTTTGAATACATGATGAGGAAAAGGTTGATGCTTAAGTGAGGAGTATTGATGCTTAGAAAGGAGGTGCGAGAAGCTAAAAGTAGGGAATTTGAGGATGATTAGAGGTAGACTGATGAAGAGTTTGAGCGAAGTGATTAGACAAAACATGCAGCTTCAAGAGCTCACCAAAAAACTGGCCTTTGATAGGAGCGTTTAGTGATCTAGCCATCTAGGATTAAAGTTGTTGGGTAGGCCTAGATATGGGTGGTTCTCATGTGTGTGTATGGCTTTCAAAATTGGTTTGATGTAATTCAATGTTTGCTTGGTTTAAATTTACCTTTTGTGGTTTAGTGTTTTTGCTTTTGATTTCCCTATCGGTTAATTGTACTAACATTTGTCTTTTGTGCTTGAGTCGGTGTCTTTCGGAAACCTCTCTACCTTTTCTAGGTCAGGGGTAAGGAGTCCTAGACCTCATTCATGTGATTTTACTAGGTTGGTTGTTGTTGTTGTTGAGTCTTAAGTCATTCCTAGGTATGCAAAAAGTTGTCACGGCGTTGCCTAGGCAATGACTTGGTGTCCCGTCGATAAGGCACTCTCGCCATGGATCCCTGACTCGCCAGGTTTTGCCTCATGTAGTATGGCGTCACCTTAGGGACGCGTAGGCAGCCTGTTCGTCACTAAAACAGCTAGGTAAGTCGAGAAGTCCTTTTTTACACAGCAACACAAGTTGGAACATCTGAGTCGCTCCTCCCCTGCTCTCTCCACCGCTAATCAACAGCCTCACCGGAAGCAACGTTCATGGCCGTTGGTTGATTTTGCAGGCTGCAGCCTTCATGGAATCTCAGTACTGATGAAAGCATTAATCGACAAATTTATAGCCTTCAGTGTCACGTTGGTGGATCTTATCTTACTAGCTGTCCGATGATCTTATTTCCGGGTATTTTTTTAGTGCACCAAGTATGTAGTACTCGGTTTTATTTAATATTGATTTTTTAATGTATCTATTTTTTAAAAATTTGATGAAGTACTCTTTTTTTCGGGTGTACTCTGATAAACTTAGAATATATTAAAAGATGATGTTAAATTTTGGAACTTTATATTAGTGTTACTAATGTACTAGAATTCTAAGATATGACTTGTCCCCTTACTGTCGTCTGAGGGGTCACCTAGTCGACTAGGCATTCTGGTGGTACATTAGAGCCACGACTCACCTTGGCAGCATGACAACAACTGTATAATCTCAACTCTGTTGGGGTCTCATCCTAAGTATAGAGATATGAAAATAAAATTCTAAAGCAGTTGGTTTATGCTTAAACTTTAGATCATTACTCATACAAGGGATATGATAAAAGGTATAGAGTACACTCTGTAGAAGAGTCATTTGTATTCTGGATCATCTATATAGAAGATATATGAACAGGCAATAAGCAAAAGTAGCGAGCCCTGAAGAAAAGAAGGTAGATACTTAAGAAAGACATGGCCATCTAGATATCTGATTATTGGTGTAATTGTGTAACATTTATGAGAGATTAGTTGATGGAAAATATAGGATGCTGCGTATCTTGTTTTGAATAGCACGAGTTGATGTGCAATTATGCACTTTGTATATGTGAAGGATGCATTGTTAAATCATTGAGAAGGCTACACCTGTGAGGAAATATAGTTAGTACAGTGGTATCGGTATGATACCACTATATGTATTGGAGTATCAAAAGGATCGGTATTTGTGGCTTAGCAGTAAGAATAACCCTTTCTTCCCGTCGTACCAAAGAAGTATAAATAATCAATTATTTTTTTGAAACCGTCAAAAGGGTGAATGGAGGAAAAGCATTAATGGGTATAAATTGTGTGGAATATTGTTATGGAGGCCTCAGTGCCTTTTTATTTTGAATTAACATTTGTATTTTCATTTGCGTCTCTGTTCTGATTATGGGACTTTGTATGTAGGTTGTTGGTTTGGTTGGTGACCGGATATGCATATGGAACCGGACTGGAACAAGGAGTGTATTTTCCTCACGTGATGGCCTTTTCACGAATGGACTTACTATGCGGTGTGCAATACCTTTTCAATGTTCCTTTTTTTTGCTTTGCAAGTTTAAATGTGTTGATGCCCATGATATGGTTATGGTTTCATGCACATAAGAAGTCTTCACATGACTGACTAATTTGCAGTCCAATATTTTGTGCCTAAACAGAAGCCTATGTTAAAATGTGAGGTCAAACAATAAATAGTGAGGACATTGGTGCTGAGCATTTGTTAAATGATAATGCCCTTAGGGGTTTTGTTTACTGCCCTGAAACTTCTCTTTGCTAGTTATCTTTTTTAGTTTTTTTTACTGAATGTACTATATATTAAGCTCTCCTGTGGTGATTATCAACAGCTAGGAGGCAACCAGGAACCCAATATCCATACAGCCTTTTACAACACAATCTCTACTTTAAGTAAATTTTGCCTCTAATTTTACTATTAATATAAAAACATGACTGAAACTTAATATGAGCAAAAATTTTGTTTACTATAGCATTCTTTCGAAATGCCAAGTGATTCCTATCCCTCCAAACTGAAAATCCTATATAGCCCACAAAAGCAGCAGTATAAACACCTCTTCGGATCCTTCCTTGAAACTCATGCAGCCACTTCAGGATACCCTCACATGAACCTACCTCACAATTCGTTTTTAGCCAACCAAAGACCATACGTTCATACTCCTTACTGTTTCCATGTATATGCACTGCCAAAACAAATGTTTTGCATCTTCTGCAGCTTGCTCACATAGAGGGCACTCCAAGAAGATATCCATGAACTTTATCTATTTGTCCTTACTTCGAACCTTCTCCTTAGTTAGAATCCATAAAAAAACTGATGCTTAGGGGTGATTAGATTATTCCATATGATCTTAGTCCACCATAGCTTTAGTTCGTGTCACCTCTGGCTTGTATCAACTATCAACTTCTTCCAATACTAGCAGCAGCCTGGTTTTGGAATATAACACCATATGTCACTGTCTTTTAAATATCTACTGTGTACTCATTTGACCAAAAGGATTTCTTTCTTAGCCATATCCCATAGACCCATACTAGCCTCATCATAAAAGTAGCCTTATCCCAATGTGAGATATTCCTGATTCCCAAGTCACCTCTGTTCTTAGCCATACAAACTTCCTCCTATTTGATTATGGGCATTTTCTTATAATCTGAACATCTGCTCCTTCGCTAATTAGTTACTCCATTTTTTCACAGTTATGCTGATCCAGAGGCTGTGGTTGGATGTGAGGATGGGAAAATTCGCGTATTTGACCTTTATAGCAGAAAAGTTACTCAAATCATTAAGTATGACTATTTTGCTAGCATACTTGTTCTTATGTTTTTTTTTAAACTGATATTCTGAAGCTTGGTATTCTGCTGTTTGGAAACTTAGGCTTTAATTTTTAATCAACTTTCTGTTGTAAATGGCATCTCACTGATCATGTGTTTGTTTTACCCTTTTGCAGGATGCATGATGGTCCTGTTACATGCTTATCTTTTAGTGAAGATCAAATGCTTTTCAGTTGTTCTTCTCAAGATCGTAAGGTTTCATTGTTGGACCTTTCAACTGGTCAGACATTGTCTTTACAGACATCATCTTATAGTTCAGGTTTTTTCACCCAATCTTCTCTTATACAATATACATGCCCCCTATGTTTTGTAAGGTGGAGTAATGTATTAATGTGAAAATATACTGTGCTAAAGTGAATGGCTTGTTTGGTTGGGGGATTTAGGAAGGGGAAACAAACTTTTGTTTTTTTCTAACTTATCTCTATTGATTACTCTTTGATTGAAAACTAAAACGGAGTATATTTTAATTATTTTTGTTTAAGTAGTGTATTTTTATGTACAACTTTTCATCATTATTGATCACTTTCTTACCAACCAACTAATATAAGAATAAATTACTGAAATGAATATCTCTTCTCCTTGCTACCCTATCTTCAACACCCCCAACAAACAATGCATAAGATATATTGGTCATTTTCTTGTACAGTTATCCTTTAATATGTCCATTGTTGTGAAAATGCCCACCTAGTTCCGATTAATCCTTGCCAAGCACTAAGCTGTCTTTGGTTGCCTATGTGTTCTTACCCGTTTTTAATTGTTTAATTTCACATCGACCTCCTGTAACCTCATAGTTCCTAATTCTGATTAATCCTTCCCTAAGCACTAAACTATCTTTGGTTAATGGTTGCCTATGTTTTCTTACCCATTGAGAACTGTCTAATTTCATCTAGACCTTGCATAAAGGTGGGAAGTCTCGGTATTTTGCCTACATGGTGGCTAGCACTGTTTACAAAATTGAGCTTATGTATCATGGAACTAATTTGTCCATCATCTCCGATGGAACCAAAGATTCACTATTTTTTTGGCTTTGGGGTATGATGGAATAAAGCAAAATGGCTCTTTAAACTGTCTGCGCTTCTTTTAATAGCGAAGTAGCAATTAGTCAATGCAACTTTTGATACCTTGCTCATCATTGGTCATCCGAAAACAGTCGCTCTATGTTTTAAACATAGGGGTCAGGCTGCGTATGTGATTACATGTGGTGCTTGAGTTGGGGGTCTCTTTAGAAACAGTCTCTCTACTTTTGAGCAGGGGTAAGGTGTGCACACACACATCCTCCCCAGACCCTACTTTAGTGGGATTCAACTGGGTTGTCGTTTTTGTTGTTGTATCATGGAACTAATTCACTTTTTTTATGTAAGTGGGAATGAAGACATTATGTTTCAATCCTGCTGCGAATTATTTGTTTGCGGGATCTACAGCTGGTCACATATTCTGTTGGGATCTTAGGTATGCAACTAACTCCCAAGTCAACTTGTGCAAGACAGAGCTAGAATATAATTCTTTGAAGTATCTAAAACACAGTACTTTTCAAAACTTTATATTTTTAAATGTATTGGGTGTATTTTTTTTGGAACAGTATTGGGTGTATTTGGTTTGCATTAGTGTGGTTATTTTGCTGGTTTTACAATCTGTGCTAGATAGCTGTCTATTTGGTTTCTATTTTGGTCAAACTAAGACGGGACATCTGTTTCCAAATTAATATTTTGGAAATCACCATCCCCATGCTTTTCATCCAAATCAGTAGGATCTACACCCAGTTTTTCGAAATTATTTTCCTCATGAATAGCATTTAGGGTCCCGTTTGGGGAAGGGGGGGGGGGACTTCCAGAAGTCTGTTTCCTATTTTCTGGTATTTAGCTACTCTGCAAAATAGGAGTGGACACGGAATGATTTCCGAAGTCAACGGGAAATGAGCCTTATTAGGAGGCAAATGATTTTTGTTTTCTCTGGCAAAAGACATTTTCATCCTTCTCTTACTTCCTAGATTGAAACTCACCACGTTTTATTTTGTTATGCCGAGTAGCAAAAAAATTAGTTTTTTTTTTCATTTTCCAAACTTCAAGCGAACGCCAGAAAATGAATTTATTTCTGAAAGGTCTTTTTTCAGAATTCATTTTCAAACTTTCCAAATGGAACCTTAACTCAAGTGATTTTCAGGCACACCACTTTTGACACGCACACACACAGTGCAAAGCTGGCTAAATGTGTGTGTATGTCCGTGAGACACTGTTGTATCAAAAGTGGTGTGCCACTAGCATGACTCATTACCACAACTCTAAAATCGGAATCTCGTGGTTTTGGAACTGCAAACTAAAGCTATCCATTGTACTGGGTGCCACTTTCAACACCCAAAGCATTGTATTTTAGTCTTGTCTTGCACTGAAACCACCTCATAGGATAGGAGATCAATCACCTCTTCTAAACTGTGAACATTTCAAAGGCTAAGATACTCTCTTTTTGCATTTGACCAAAGGAGGATAGACAAAACTCTATGGGAAGACCGAGTGAGCCCGAATGTCATTTATTCCATGCATCACCTCAGAAATGACAAGTCAACACTAGTAGTAGGTGGAATAGATGGTGTCTTGAGAGTTGTGGACCAGGATTCCGGTGAGGTATTATCCAGGCACATTATGGAAGAAGAACAAGAAGACAGTAGAAATGTACCCTCCTCTTCCTCTTCAGGAAGAAGTGTGATTGTCAGGAGAGTGAAAAACATCTCATCGAATGATCGCGTGGATCTCATGTCCAAAACCTGTCGTCCGAAAATAACATGTTTGGCTGTGGGAATGCAGAAGGTAGTGACTGCACACAATCTTAACTATATCAGTGTTTGGAAATTTAAGTAGTGGCTATGTTGTTGGCAGTTCATTCTTAGGCTCATATTTGTTTCCCATTGTTCATGTGAAGTCTTTATGTGTGTTTTTGTGTGAGTCGGGGGTTTCTTGGGAATAGCCTTTCAACTTTCAAGTAAGGGTAAAGTACGCGTACACACTCTTCCGAGACCTTACTATTTGGAATTCTATTGGGTTTGTTGTAATGGTGTTCATGTGAACTTGTGATGTCTAAGTTGGAAATTGTATTTTTTTATATTCTAAAAAATGGTGGTTTTTGTTAGATTTAGTGCTAATAATAATTTATTTGAGCAGTCTTTGTAATATACAATGTAACTTTCTATTATTTACTGGGTAATACTCAGTAGTTTCTATTTTTGGTGAGTTTCTAAGTCTATCAGGACTGGTTTCTATATACTCCGTATTTACAAACATTAGCTTGTTTTGTTCAAATTGGAGTTTTTTTGGGGAATAAGTTAACATAGAAATGTATATTTACGGAGTATATCTTCAAATGAAATGGATGGAGTTACATACTCCGCAATGGACTATAGTTTATTAGTTTAAAAAAATCTGCAAAGTACAAGTTTATAAGTGTCTAGCTTAAAATAGCCCTAACTTTTTCCCTCCCTTTGTAATTAGGTTATACTACCTCCGTCCCACAAAAAAGTTCCCATTTTGGCCATAAATTGGTCAAACTGCTGCACACTTTGACCATAAATTAAATATAATCTAAATAAAGAAATGCTAAAAAAATTTGAGATATCAAAACTAGATCCTAAGATGAATCCAATTATATAAAATTTATTTCATAATTCAATATACTTTTCTCACAATTTGTAGTCAAAGCGTGTAAATATTTGACTAAATACTATTCAAAATGGGAACTTTTTTGTGGGACGGAGGGAGTATATATTACTCCCTCCGTCCCCTTAAGATCTTCTCGTTTTGACTTTTTATGATTTTTAAAGAGAGTTGAAAAAGGTAAACGTTTACCATAATATCCTTAACGAAAATGGGTGGAGTGTATTAAATGAGGTAGGTGAGATGTAATAAATAAAGTAAGTGGAGGTAGTTGTGGTATTTCAATTGTTAAAAAAATAATGAGAAGATCTATTGGAGACAAATAAAAAGGGCTATTGGGAAGATCTATGGGGGACAGAGGGAGTGTTAGACGCCTCGCACACCTCTAGAGGGGGGGAGGTTAATAGAGATGTTGCCCAAAAGACCAGTTTTTTTTGCGCGGAAACGTTCTTCACGAATATTCAACAAAAACAATGCACCACAAACAAAATAAAGTGAAGGATAAGAGCAATGCACACACGATATATACTGGTTCGGCCTAAATGCCTACATCCAGTCCCCGAAGCAATCGTGCCCAGGCCTTCACTAACCCGTCAAACTTAACGGAGTTTGACAATCCAAATACAACTCGAGAACTTGATTTCACAAGCCTCTTATCTTACCACCGAAGTTTTGATTTTACAAAACTCAGGATTTCTTCCACCTAACGTTTGATTTCACAAACCGTTAGGATTTCTACCACTTGGTGTAATCCCAACACCAAGAATACAAATCCCTTACAATAAAGTAAGAAAACAAGCCGCAACCGAGTAATTCTCCCAACACGGAGTAGATTGTT